CCACCCCCAACCCTGTGGCCCATTTAAAACCGTCTGAAGAAGAAGAAAGAAAAGAAGTTTAGTGTGCAAAAGAGCTTTTCTTTAACCAAATAAATTATGTGAATCCGTTTAATTATAGATCCACTAGGATAAATACAATAAAGTTTATCTCTCACCAAATAGAATATTTACTAAGAAATCACAATATAACTATAGACACATTACTTTGTCTTTGTGTGTATGTATGTATGTGTGTATGTATGTGTGTGCGTGCGTGCGTATGTATGTGCGTGCGTGTGTGTGTGTGTTCGTGTGCGTGTGCGTGCGTGCGCGTGTGTGTGTGTGTGTGTGTGTGTGCGCGCGTGCGTGCGTGTCTGCTCTGTCTTCTCGATCCCCAGTGAGTCGTGGAGGATGGCTGCTTATACTGAGCCAGGATCCTCTGGAGGTTTCTTCCTGTTAAAAGGGAGTTTTCCTCTCCACTGTTGCTAAATGCTTGCTTAGTATGAGGATTGCTGTAAAGTCACTGACACTAGTCAGTGACTTTACAGCAATTTGCTGGGTTCCTTATATATGAAACATTATTTCTGATTGGCTTAATGAACTGACCTCAATTGGAATGTTTATTATGTGAAGTGCCTTGAGACGACTCTTGTCGTGATTTGGCGCTATATAAATAAAATTGAATTGAATTGAATAGCTGATAATAATGGTAGGCTTATGATAATGGACATCCCTAGTGGAAAATAATATAAAAAAACATTAACAGAGCTAAAACACTTACGGTTGCTTTGAATGTCATAATGTTATGGGTCTTTAATGTCTATCCCTATGTCTCTACCTAAACCTACAATTTTTCTAGAACATCTATATTTAAACATGAGTTTATTTTTTGGAATATTCATTAATTAAAAAAAATAGCCTAAGGTATTAAAGCAAAAATGGCTAATTTGGAAAACAATTTAGCTTAACCCCTTAGCATTCCAGCGTCCCACCCATGGGACGAAAGCCCATTGTATTCATTAAACCTGGAAATTTAAGGGGTTAAAAATGTCATGTCTCTTACAGTTCTAACATGGTTAAGGTATTAAAAAATTAATATAATTTTTCTCTCGCATTTGTCTAAAAACCTCCACCAATAACGTGTTTCGGACCAAAAGCAATTACTGGACCATCTGGTTGTCAGTTTCACCGAATCGCACTTCCCTGGACCCTTCATTTATTATGCAGTTGCGTATTTAGCAACCGAACACCACTGGTGTGAGAGGTTCGTCGCTCAATAACATCAGAGAAGGGGAAGCAGCCGGCTGCTACCACTTCAACCTTAGGACAAACTACCAGAGTCCCAAAAAGAAAAACACCGTCTGAAAATGGAGACTGGTGTTCAGCGCTAGCTAGTTTCCTCCAGCGTTGCGGGTTTCCAGTTCCAGCAGGTTCGTCTCAGGAAGATCCCTGAGGGGAGGGGTGAGTGTTCCATCACCCTGCTTGCGATCAAAACCTAGCGTGTTTGCAGATTTGCCATAAAAGCTTTAAGAGCTGTTGTTGAAGGGTAAGAGTTAGGGTTGCAAACACCCGTTCTTCTTCTGAACACTTCTGAAAATAATATTTCCCCATATATGACCTCTGCAACTATTATTGAAGGAACTTTCCCTCTCGGTCTTATTAAAATATCTTTCTTTGGCAAAAACACCAGACCCACAATAAGCTGACAGGCTGCTGTTGATATCTGAAAGGCAGCGAGTACAAATTGATGCTAATTGCAGGTTGCTTAACAAACCAACAAGCTCACAGACATGAGTGTCCCTTTCAGGATGCCAAGAAGAAGCAGGTAGCTGGCAGACAGCATAAAGAACGCCACACAACCCGCGTATATACAAACCCAAAGAACAGCAATGCAGGGACATCTTTTCAGACACCTCAGGGGGGCTTATATAGAACACTTTCCATAGTCCAGTCAACCTTGCATGATTTGTTAAATTTGGTGCACGATTACGATTTTAATTCTTGACACTAGATTAGTATTACAATAGGTTAAGATGAATCACATAGCAAAACCCTGTAACTTTTGGAAAACAGTGAAATAAATGCACTTCAGGCTGATTTTAATGCCGCTGGATGCAGAAAACTTTTTAAACGAGTCACAAAAGGCAGCTCGTTTGTCCTGATTTGGTTCAATAGATGTTCTCCATCCATCAGGCTGTCGAACATTGTTGTTTGAGCATCACACTTCCCTTGGAAGGACCTGTCAGCTTCTTCAATTTATTTGGTCTTATCTGCTGCTTACGTGTGACGTTGTGAAAACAAGGACTTAAATCTTTTTTCTCGCTCATCGTGACAAGTAACCACGCTCCCTTACGGAGAATTGACTTGGAGAAACCCAACACGTTGAGATGTTTTGATAACCAGAAAGCTAGCTCAGCTAGCTAGAAACAGGAAGTTGATGTTTTGATTTGGGAAGTGGACATCGAGGTCAACATTAGGAGAAAACAAGCTTTTATGAAAAAGAGCTACATATAAGGATGTTTTCGTATTAACAGACTTGTCTCATAGAAATGTGTTTGCAGGTAAATCGGCATCATAAGACGGATTATGTTATTTTACTTTACAAGCACCTATATTAGAGCTAACTCTGTTAGCGCTCCCTAACTAAATTCCTCTTGTCATTGCAAAGCTTCAATCTGAGGATACCATAATTTGCTATTTGCTTCTATAACAGCACCACAGACCAGATGATAATTGTATTGAGCTGCATAGATAAGCAGGTATTGCATGTTGCTTGGAGATCTACCTCTCACTGTAATTGGACTTGATGATGAATGGCATTGTGGGTCCTAATGTGGCAGTATGGTTTCATCTTGGGCCTCAGGCTCTCACTGGCTATTATCGCCATCCCATGAGGATACATTGTGTCCGAGTCTTTGTTGCCTCTGCGCAGTGAAGTGGAGGACCTAATCTATTTATCACGGGGTCTGCGTGACCACCCAGCCTGGCCGCTATATCTGATCATGCCGGGCTTCCTTGTTCTCCTCCTCCAGGGACGTAGGCAGCGCAGATGTAACATGCAGCTTCACACCTGTCAAACAGTGCTGGTGTCGGTCATCCCTGAGGAATGGAGTGCAGAGGGAGAAACATTTAAATGTATTTTTTGTGTGGCATGGCTTTTGCGGTCTAAAGGATCTGAGATTTTCGTCGTCTGCCGGGGGGTGGGTGGGGGGTAATCCTCAGTATCGAGCGCTCTGGATAAAGCTGTGGAACTTTTCACAGAAGCATTGAGAAGGAGATTTGTATAATGTCCAGCTGGGTTTTGAGGTTTGAAAGTTTACTGAAGTGTTGGTAAAAGATAACTCGTGCCCTTTTCACTGCTTTACTAATCTTGAATCAAGGGATCAACCATTCAGGCAAACTGACCCTGAGTGTGAAGTTTGGTTAAATTAGAGCATTGATGGAAGAGAAAAAGGTATGTGTTGGTGTTTAATGAATGATTTGAATACAAACATTCCAAATGTGAAAGGGCGATGTGGCTGAGGAATTATGTGCCCGCCCTGTAGCTGGAGCAACTCGGGGTTTGTATATACAGTAATGCTAGCAGGCGCTACAGGCCATTTAAAGCTTTATTATTTTTTTGACATTAGGATTGTACCATTAGCTTAAAGTATACGGGGACAAAGTGTACTCTTCTACTTATTTATTTTTTGCAAAGTCAAGCCAGCATATCCTGTTCACGGAAGTTGCCATGTTTTGTTCTTGCAACCAGACTCTGTACAGTAGAGATGTAGAGCTCAGAGTCCCACCTGCCCCACCCCCCAGACATTATAATAACAATTACAGCTGAACCTGTAGGGGAAATGAGTCATTATACAGGCAGCATTAAGCTCAAGCTTTGATCAACAGGAGTCAGGACGTGGACAATGTCCACTCTGTCTATACCAGGGATAGGAAAACCTGGTCGAATGCTTCTATCCAGCGTGTTTTTGTTATTTCCCTTCTCCTATGACTACATGTTCAACAGCTAATGAAGCTCTGCAGCGGCCGGTTAATCACTTAAAATCAGGTGTGTTGGAGCAGGGAAACAACCAAAACATGCCGGATAATGGCACTCAACGACCAAGCCTTGCTACCCTTGGTCTATACACAAGGGACCTAAGGTGCTTTTTTATTTTTATTTTTTTTTGGGGGGGGGGGGATGCTGACGTTTCCATGGCGACACTCCTCTAAATGGGAAGAAGTGAGGTGCATGGTGTACTTTGCCTTGAGTGACTATAAAGAGGACTGTTTAAGTCAGGAATGAGGATTGAAGTCGTTTCTGGAATCCACCTTCTCCAGCCTCCACCAACACGGTCCAGCCAGCAGAGTCGGGCGGCATCTGCAGGCTGTAAGGCTCTTCCATGGCTGCAAGACGATGTTACATTACATATTTAGACACTTTATTGGTTTATGATACACTATGCCTTAGTATTTCCTTCTTGCATGAATGCACAGGAGCGTATTAAACAGAAGTTGAAGCCAAAACAAGAGGCAAGTATGTGATTTATGTAATCCTCAGGAGAGGAAACATTCGATTTACACAAGTGGAGGATAGGAAACCCCATCAAATCGAATTCACACGGATGGTCTTTGCAATTCAGATTGCTTACCCAGTGGTCATGCAAGGAAGCTGATGAAAATCTGGAAACTTTACTGTGCACCCTAAGCCACAGATTTTTCATCATGACAACTTAATATGTGAAAGACACTGTCCCCTCTAGTTTAGTTAATAAAAGCTCCGTCTGCCGTCTCCGACATAATGGAGCTTCAGTTATCAATATGGGAATGTCCTGTATTGGGAAAATTAATCTCTGGCGACTAAAGCGCATGATGAGATGTGTGAATAATTCAAAGCCTGTTTATCTGACCTTGAAGTGTGTGTGTGTGTGTGTGTGTGTGTGTGTGTGTGTGTGTGTGTGTGTGTGTGTGTGTGTGTGTGTGTGTGTGTGTGTGTGTGTGTGTGTGTGTGTGTGTGTGTGTGTGTGTGTGTGTCTTGCTAGCTGGGAAGTGCTGCGCTTCCTGCTGTCAAACCTTCGCTGGTGGATGGAGGAGTACCGCTTTGATGGCTTCAGATTTGACGGCGTTACCTCTATGCTGTACCATCACCATGGTATCGGTAAGATGTGTGTGTGTGTGTGTGTGTCAGGTTTCTATGTGACTGTAGCGAAGCCTGCTCTCCATCTCAGACCCCTCAGGGTTGAAGGTGAATGTGGACAGTGTTTGTAAAGCAGATTTGATCTGATCTGAAGTTTTTAGCATCTATTTGGCATTTTTCAGCTTAAAAGAAAACAAATATCCCGATAAAAAGAAGTCTTGTGAAGCCGTTTCATTAGACCCTTAAATTAAATTCTGAACTTGTCAATCACCACAATACAAGCTGTTAAGAGCAGTGCTGAAATTTGTCAGGAAGATGAAGTAAAAACTGATTATTTTGGGAGTTTGTGTGGAAAGCATGATGAGTGCTCTCTGTGTGGGTGTTTAACCCTCAGGCACAGGCTTCTCAGGGGACTACAGCGAATACTTTGGCCTGCAGGTGGATGAAGACTCTTTGGTGTACCTGATGCTTGCCAATCACATTCTCCATACTCTTTATCCTGACTGCATCACCGTTGCGGAGGTAAAAACACAGCATCACACGGTTTCTCTCGGCCTTCAGCTTTAACTAATTAAAAGCACTTGTTAGGCTTGTGTTTTCAATGTAATTAAAAGTCAGTGTAAAAGAGTTAAGATCAGTGTTTTTGGGGGGGTCTTGGGGTGCAGAAAAGTCAAGCTTACAGCAGAAGCAGTGGACCAGGTAGGAGAGCTGTGCACATGCATGTAAAACCTGGTCATATGACATGTTTGGGTTTCTCTGCAGGATGTGTCAGGAATGCCTGCCCTCTGCAGAAGAGTAGAGGAGGGGGGTCTTGGCTTTGATTATCGACTGGCTATGGCCATTCCTGACAAATGGATTCAGGTACAACAACTTCCTTTTCTAAATTTAACATTTTTAAGGGTTCTTTTAACAAATTGGAAATAGTCTCCTACATCTATCTCCTGCATTAGCTTCTGACAGAAAATAGACAGTGAAACTCGAGGATTAGAAAATCCTCACAGATCTGTGTCACACTGTGAATTAGCATTCATGGACTCACCAATATGGACTCATGACGGGGGACGCTGTTGTTGTTTTAATATCCAGGAAACTGCAACAGACGTCTCGGCTAGTTTAAGCTAACCGTTAGCATTAGCAACTTCACCTCGCGGCAGAAGGTCCTCCAGGCTTGTGTTATTTGTGCAAATAAAACATCCACGTTGAAAGTCAGTGGTAGAGTCATGTTGCTTTTATCCAGTCGGGGATGAGATGTCCAAATATCAGGAAATTAGACTCCAAAACCTGCCGTCTGAAACTCAGCTGTGATTTAGGCAACTTTTAGGTCTGAGAAGTGGTGCACCAGTGTATTTGTTTCCCCCAAGGACGACTTTCAAGGCATTCACTCCTACTAGAGACCACTGCAAATTTATCGGTTAAACAAGGGAACTACACCATTAATGTTTTATGATATTAACAGGAACGTACTTGGATTCATGAACATGAGTGAAATTCATATTTCTCAAAGCAACATTAAATGAAGAAATATCAAACATGAAATACAAATAGGAAAAAGTAAGTATTATTTAAAAAGCCCTTTTGTGTTTGTAAAAATAAAGCAGCCAAGCTTCAGATCAGCTCAGTGACATGACACAACTACTGTTTAGGGGATTATAAATTCTTTTCAGATTTTTCTCAATTTTTCTGGTTAGAGAAATGAAACCGTAATTTTTTTAATCAAACACTACTCGCTGATTTTTCCTTTTCATAATTCTCTGCAGAGTTATCAATAAATGAATAAACGGCCATGATTGTTGGAAAATAAAAGCATCTGAATGTGCAGACAGTCCCATTTTCTTTTATCACTAAATACTCTCTTCTTATGGATTTATATTTTCATACAAACGGAAACAGTTCAGTTTAATTAATTTTCATAAAGGTCATCCAGTTTCTAATTTAATTATTTGGGCGGTGCTTTGAATAAGCAGACTTTCATCTTTACACTTATTTAAGTCAATAATGATAGATATATCTCTATCTGTGAAAGTCTCATACATATTTCTATTTATTTATCAAATTTGATGATTTATTTTAAAGCACTGGGTATTTTTAAGGTTAGATTCAGATCTGAATTAAGACCAGACTCAGATTTTTCCTGATGGGGAAAACTATCCAGAATCCTGCAGCTGAGTACCTTTGATTTAACTAACAGGAAGTTGAAGATGATATTATACAAATAAATGATTTAAAAAGGACATTGTCTGCATGAATAAAGGCCCAATTTCACATGTATGTTCCAAGGAAAACATTTTAGAGAATTATCATGGCAGATCAGCAGAGACGTTTCCTCTGCATGTTTAAGATGCGTTTGTAGGATTTTCGAGTGCACTTTTGATCGTTTTCTGCATCAGAGAAAAGAATTACGAGAAAATAAAGGTGACGTGGTTCTCAGAAAACACCAAGACAATCCAACACATTTGACCTCCTCGATTTATGATTGGAGTGGTTTTGACAAGCTTCCGAGTAGACCAGAGTGCTCTTAACACACCACACATGGAAGAATTATCTGATAAGATTATCTTTAGAGTCATCGTGGTAATCAGGCACATCCTTAAATGTCAACTTTGCTCACATTTTTTATGCATTTGCAGTGCTCTCTAGTTGGAAAAAATGCCTTGCAAGTCCTTCTCTGGGGGAAAAAAGCTCTGGTGCACCTGATTGCAGATGGAGAAGTCAGCAGGAGGAGAACGCGGCAGAACATGGCAGGATTTAGATTCTTATTTTCTGATATCTGAACAGCTTGCGTCAAATTGGCGAACAGTAACACAACTCTACCACTGACTCTGACTCTGAGTTCTGCCATGCAGTGGAGTTGCTCATGCTGTTAGCTTTTTTTTAGCCAAGACGTTCCCTGCTGTTTCCTGGACGCTAAACCAACAACAACCTTCCCTGTAGCGAGTCAAGATGGGTGAGTCCATGAATGTTAAGTGACAGTGTAACGTAGATCTAAATCCTAGAGTTTCATCGTCTATTTTCTATCAGAAGAGAATGCAGGAGATGGGAGTAGGAGACTATTTTCATGTTCAGCCTGCATAAAACAACTCAGAGAGGCCGATTATAATCAGAAATTTGCATGCGTATCCTGCGGTGTGAATCAGGAATTACATAACTTTTTTTACTAATTAAACAACAGTTTTATAGAAAGTTTAATCCTTTAAACAAATGCTCCACTAGTCTACATTTCAGTTTTAAATCTTCTCTTTTTGTCGAACTGTTTCCTTGCATCAGCATGACAATTAAGCCTAATCTGTTCCCCTGAAAAGAATATTTCCTGGCGCCAATCACAAGAGTCAAAAATGATCAGATTACCCGACACCGCGCTACCACTCGGCGCTGCGTCTGTCTGCAGGGGAAGTCGTGGGCACCAAACATTCACAAATCCTCCATAACAACCGCTGAAGCACCCTTTAGCTCGACACTTCAGTCCAAACTGCCACTGTGAAAGTACTTAATAGCCCACAATGGGAAAACATTGTTTATAACTGTTCAGTCATCAGGTCTATAACTTTGTGATGGTGAAGCCGAGCAGCATGGGGAACAAATACATGCATACCCCTCCATTCATCCAGACGCAACAATTTTCTCTGAAAGTTCCCCCTGCTGGTTTTATATGAGCTGTCAGAAAGTTTGTGTTTTCTCAAAGCCTGTTTTGATAAATACGTCGCCCATTTGTCGGTATACAACTGTGTTTTTATGAAATCACAAAATATTTCTTTAGAAAACAAATTTGTAGGACCACAGGCAGACAGCAGGTTATCTCTGGGGATATGTCTGTGTGTACGGCTTTGGCTGAGGGGTGAGTGTGGATTGTTCTGTGTGTTTGTTTAAAGCTCTTTTCACTTGCTTTAAGCAAAGTGCTGTTTGCAGAATGCCTGAAAAGGTTGGTGGCCATAGTATGTAAAACAGTTTTCCCACCAGTGCACAAACGCTTTGGTAAAACTGCCAAGGGTAAGGGTTCCTAGCCCGAGAGGCATGGGACTTTATTGTAAATTTATCATTTTTTCATTCTTTATTATTCTCTGTAAAGGTACTTGGGCACAAGAATGAGAAGAAACAAGAAACTAGACTAGGCAGTCTGGTAGAAAATCCCTATCGCTGCTCAGATTAAAAAAAGCATACCTCAGATTTTTAAGGGGCTGCACGATATGGCCTCAAATTAATGTCATGATATTTTGATCAGTTCACTGTGATAACGATGAATGGACGATAATTGCCCCACTGTTTGTCCACTAGATGGGGCTGTGGCAGCATAATTGCTCCACCACCGTTATAATGATGGTAAGATTCCCCTAGACCAGCGATTACCAAATAGTAACCCGGGGGTTGGATTCAGCCAGTAGCTCAAGAGCAGCCAAACTACACACTTCTTATGTGAGATCTATATAGTCATACATATGCCCTATAGGTTATAAATTGTAAGTCGCTTTGGATAAAAGCGTCTGCTAAACGAATAAAAACATAACATTTTGGGATTGGTAAATTGTTGGTTTTTCGCCCAGCTTTATTGCAACATTTGATGCATTTTGGCTAATAACTTCCTAAATGGAAAATGGCCTCTATTTGTATAGCACCTTCGCAGGGTTCTACAACCCCCCAAGGCGCTTCACAACACATCAGTCCTTCACTCATTCACACACACGTTGACACGCTGGTAATGATGAGCTACATTGTAGCCTCCGCTGCCCTGGGGCACACAGACTGAAGCGAGACCTCCAAACACAGACACTGCCAGTCCCTCTTACCACCAGCAGGCAAGGCAGGTTAAGTGTCTTGCCCAAAGACACAACAGCAGCATTCTCTGGTTGGAGCTGGGATCGAACCTACAACCTTCCGATTACTGGACAACCTGCTACTGCTGCCCTCGAACCATAAGTCACGCACTCAAACTTTATTTTCATGATCCTTGGAAGATTTTGCATCCCTCTTGTTTTGGCCACACACGTTTTCGCATAACTAGGATGTTCACTATATCTCGATAAAGACTACTTCTACTTCTACTACTTCTATGTCAAACCCACATAAAACTTGGTACGTAGGATCTATGGACCAACCTAACAATATCTAATTTTAAAAAACTCATGAACGCAATCCAACATTAAAACGGCGTGCATGCACTAGTTTCTTGCGTTTCTCAATGGGGGAAGTCAATGCATCGTTAATCAAGTCTGTCTCTCTCAGCAGTTGGTTTTACTCGGTATCAGGGATGGAGGGAGGAGAAAAGAAGGTTAGGGAGATATAGTCCAAGACTTGACCTTCCTCTGTGATTCCAGCACTAGCTGTGCAGCCAGCAAAGCTGCACCTCAGAGGTTTGACTGGATAATCCCGAGATCCCTTCTAAAAAAGCTGCAGCTGCTTTAACTTGACAATAAAAATACTGCTTGCTACGCAGCATTTGTTTAGATATTACTGTTAGTTGCATCTTTTTAATTAAATTTGTTGCCTCCCCTGAGGAGACTGTGCTGGAGGGAGAGCAAGGGAGCAGCAGCATTCCTCTATATGTGCGCAGGGAAGCATTCATATGAACACGCGTTGGTATAGGCAGTGAAGTGCATTCAGGGCTAGCCTTGGCTCTTCTCACAGAGTGTCAATTAGGGTGGGATTTGAATGGGCTGAAGTGGAGCCTCCAGTGAGGTGTGTGTTGCAGAAAAAAAAAAGATGAAGCGAGGAGGGTAGGCATTCAGGAGGAGAGACGGAGAGACGGGGGATAAAAAAACAGAAGGAAAGAGAAACAAAGACACAGAGCAACAGAGCTGTGAGCTTATTTATAGATTCACAAGTGTGCACGAATGAATCTCCCTCAGTTACTCGGCTGGGGCCTCACGGCT